AAATCAGCCCAAATTTCACCCACCCATGAGGGTCTCATCCCCTTTTTCTGTGTTGTAGTGAATATATCCTCAAGTCGATGCCTGCCACAAACCTAAATAATCTATCGGATCTGTTGATGATGTTCCACCAACCAGTAAACGACCTCTGTAAATTAAAATTGTGTAAGTTTGCTTAATATAAAAATTAGAAATTAATATTTTATTTCAAATTAAAATATCATACTTCGAACTCCCTAAACTACATATCCCGAGTCGCTATCAGAATTTGTTTACATGAGAGAAATGATTGATTATACCGACTATGGATGATCTCCGTGATCTGTGTCACAAGCGTCCTAAAAGGGTAAAATCTGCAATTGAAATATTAGTTGCAATAAAAATTGGCATGAAAATTGAAATTAATGCACTGCAAAAATGAAAGTTGACTTACGAGTCAACCTCCGACATAATATAACCTCTGCTAGCAAAGTCAACTATCTCAGATGTAAGTAAGAGTCAATGAGTTGGCTCATCAGATGAGGAATCTAGACAGAAATATGGTGCAGGTGTAGGAGGTGGTGCCTTTCAGAGAGCTGGTGCAAGAGGAGGGGTAGTCAGAGTGGCTGCATGAGTGTCGTACCTCTCAGTGCTGGAGACGACCTTCTTCAGCCTCCGATATGTGTTCCCCCAAAGCCTCTTGAATGCGTGGTCTCTCTAAGGGCCAAGCACCTGCCATTTGCAACAGGAAAAAAAATAATTAGAATTAGTAAGCATGATTAATATGTCTCGTAAGATAGAAAAGTAAAAGAAGAAGAGTGCATGAAACATGGCGTGACTACTCATAAAATCAATAAAAGTAAGCATGACAACTACAGTGCAAGAAATGAAAGTAAAAGCAAGTTGCAAAAACTAATCATTTAAATATACATACTACTTTTTTGTATGTTACATTCGATGTGCCAGATGTTGAAGAAATTAACATTTCTTCATTAATCTCACCATCTTTTTCATTCATATCTAGAGGAACTTCTTCATGAAGCTCCACGGGTTCCTCTAGGGGTAACTCATCGATTGAGCTAACGGAATACAAAAATCAGACATAACTGAATCTTGGTGAATTGGTTCGATAACATTGTGCATCTCAATAGTTTTTCGTGGTCTATTCTTCAATACAATAACACAATCAAGTTTATTCCTTGTTTGACTAGGATATCGAAGATAATAAACCTGACTAGGCTGATGACTTCACATATCTTTTGTTCATTTGAACTTAAGGAATATCATACGGGTCGTGCGTCCATGTTTCTCTATTACAAATAGAATCAAACCACTCACAGTTAAACATGTAGACATTGCGTTCAATATAACCCGAATATTGCAACCGGGCTACTTCATTTAGTATATCATATTAAATGATCTCGTTATATGTATTTGTGTTTCCATTAACACAAGCACCGCAATTATAAGTCAGTTTTCCTTCACACCAAGTGCTTAACCGTTACTTTAAATATGTGTCATGTTATGACACTATGATTAGACCTCCAAGCAAGAACTACTAAGCCCTGACTAGTGATTCCGTTGTTGTATTATAAACCTAGTTGAAGTTTAAAAGTACAATTAGCTTTACTTTGTAGAGTACAACTACATGACATATCGGTGAATTAAAAAGAACTTCAACGTATGTGTAATTTGAACATTTTGAAAATTCTTCTTCAATCTTCTTGCTTACATGAGAGTCAACCCCTATGTTCAGGCTCTCGGTAAATTACTTGCAGACATTTTTAGGATTTATTTATTTGAGTTAATTAGTATAGCATTCCAGATAATAACTTAGAAAATTTTTTATTAAATTTAATATTACTGTAGGAATGGTTGCACTTCAAAGCAGTTCAGTAGAACACAGTGTAGCTGCTCGAACCTCTTTATTGTTGAGTTAGCGCGTACCATGCCTACCCAATGGTTCACCTGATATTTACAATACGGATAATTATGCTTGTGAAGACAACTCACTAACAATATCATGTGTATGTTTCCCTTGATCTAAGTAATAAAAACAAAAATTAATTGTCTACTATAATAGGTATGTCTCAGATGTCGTTCCCTCAGAACGTGCTTTATTCTTAACAATCTTTTTTCTTTTATTTAGAAATCTGCGCGGTTGAGTCATTTTAGAAAAAATAAGATAGTAGTTCACTCTAAAATTGAAGACATCTCTCAAAATGATACATTCACTTGTATTGCACTAGACCCCCCAATTTGGCCTCATAATATAGATGTATGGGCAGATGTTCCATTGAGCCAAAAAGATCAGGAGGAAATATCCCTTTGAGCTTGCTTAGTAATAACTTTATAATCGCATCACGACTTCTCAGAGAATCAACATTCAAAGTGCCTGCACACAACTCCCTAAAGAATGAACTGATTTCGATCAATGGATCAAGTTCCAACTTTGGTAGGGCATTGAATACAATAAGTAATAAACAATGCATGAAAATATGACAATCATGACTCTTCATATCAAATATTTTTTTCGTCCCTTAACCAACACATCGACTTATATTAGAAGCACAACCACTTGAAAACTTCAAAAAATGCAATCACTCAAAGATTGCATTTCGTTTGATCGAGTGTGAGACAATATGTAGCTTTGCTTTGAGCTATGTTGATCTGGTTTGATCATGTAAAAAATAAGAACAACACAGTCAGACACATATCAAAGGGAAAGTTATATAGCGTGATAATAACTGGTCAACATGAATAATGTGTTGCATCATGATTGCAAGGTGTAAACCCATACGCACATAAGCCAAGTCTAACATCTTGAGGGATTGTTGTAAGATGGGAGGGGTTCTCAAGGCTGTGGCTTTGGAGCTAACCGAGCATGATCATTGAAAATTCTAAGGATAAAAAATCAAGCCCATTCTCCTCTAGGAAGAAGTCATGCAAGCTATATGTATGGCAATGATGGTGGCTTGGATATTGAAGTCCAGTTCGATAGTTGTGAATTTAAGGTGGGCATCAAAATTAGATTATAGGTGTCATCATGTAGACGAGTCTATGGTTTGATTGGTATAGCAAAATAGTCAAGTGAGAGGCTCTCTCAAGTAGTTTTATTTTGAAGGGCTCCTTACCAGAAGGAATGATGAGCTATCAACCATAGTGTCACCACACGAAAAATCATTGTGTTCAATTGATAGGATCTTGTGGTGAAGTATATGTTGGCTAGTGTAAAGCTTTGTTGTCATTTGATCTTTAGCATTTCCTTATCTTGACACATTTTAAAAACATGGGCATGCTGGATTTGATGTGAAAAATATTTTGGCTTGAGTAGATTATATTTCTCATCATAAAAAGATCTTATCATACCATTGGATTTTAGAATACTAGAGGAGCTTTGGTGAGCTTACTAAATAAACATTTATTGAAAATATTTGATTATATTTCTTATATTTATATCAACTTTATTATTAAAATCGGACTTGATATTAAATCAAACAGATGTTTTTTTATTGTCTATGATGATATTGAGTTTTTTTTTTCCCCTTACTTTTCCCTTTTTATTCTAAGAAGATTAAAATTGAAAGTCTATTAGAAGCCATGATACAATATTCAATGAAAATGCATTGTATAAAGGCAATTTGAAAGTAGCTCAAAAGTTTTGCAACATAGAAGCTAAATGAGGGATCATTAAAAGCCATTCTTATAGTTTGGGTTGAAAATACTATTTATGTTGAACAAAAATATGTAGCCGAGAACTAATATTATTCCACTCTGGAGGACATCTAAGAGTAGTATCAAACCATTACAGATACTCACATAGTCACATTGCACTATATTTTATTATTGACCGAGATGAAACAATGAAAAATAAAAATTAATCAAGTGAGTGTTGGACATGGGAGGAGATCAAATTATTATGTCTTGATAGAATTACTAAAGGGAAGAAGGCCATGAAGAATACATGGATGCAACGAAAAATGGGAATGTGGTATTAAGGATATATGCGGAGATCAATTTTTAAAGTTTTCAATAAAAGGAAAACATTGAATTCTTGTAAATTTTCTCTTAAATGGCAACATAATCATAATTTGCGTGTTAGTTGCAATAGTTGCAAAATAACATTCAGAGCTATTGGATGTGTAGATTGTGTTTCTTTATGATGATATGAATGCAAAAAAAAATTATGGTGGAGGCACAAGGATTTGTAGTATAATAGGAATGAGAGAATGAGATAAAACTTCAGAAAAACTTGTATGGTCTTAAATAGGCTTCAAGATGGTGTCACAAGAATTTTAATTTTTTTCATGGAAAGTAATGATTTTTTAATGTGTCATGCAGATCAATTAATATAGAAATTTTTGAGAATGTCTATTCCAGTTAACTATTATCTATAGATGATATTTTAGAGTAGGTGGGAGAATATATATATATATATATATATATACCTTATGATATTTTCGCTTTTTTTTTTTTTTTTTATTTTTTTACCAGCACTCAACTATAATAT